GATCACCTCTAGTAGTTCGTGCCAACCCCCGTAGTCTAGCTCACTACCGTTGTAGAGTGACTCTTCGCATGCGCTGCTCCTATCACCACGGCATCCTTCCCTATCCCCCCCCCGAGAGGTAATACCGTCACCCCCCGGATATAAGCGCCACCCTAGGATAAGCGCCTGGCGCTTCTAATTGGCATATGGCGCTTATATCCCCTCCTCGATTATAAGCGCATACCCTAGAGTCGTACGGATTATAGCCGCATACCTGTACCTTACACATTATAACTGCCACTTTTTAAAAAAAAAAAAAAATTCTACACGCTTCACTAACCACATTAACATTGTATATTTTCATCTAATTAATTACAAAGTCAATTTGTCTAAAGTTTTTTCTAATTACAGTTCTAAATCTACCTACGAGTCTCACAGGCTACAACAATTTCTAGATCTACGTAATCTAGTCATCAGCTGCGGTAGGATCATCCGGGTCGGCCTCAGAGTCCGACTCTGGTTCTTCTACGTTGTTGCAGAAAAAGCCATCTGCTGCAATGTCGTCGTCGATGTCTATTTCGTCGCCCTCAAGCTCGTCGCGCCTGTGTTGCAGGCACATCTTGTCCTGGGACCCATCCAGGGCGTTACTAATGCCACAGGTGAGGAAAGCCCGTTGAATCAAGTCCCTGGGCACGGCCTTCCAAGCCGCTGATATCCACTTGAGCGTTAGCTCGGGTGGTGGCTTCTTGATGTTGCCTGCCATAAAATTTAAACAATCAAAAGTCAGCCACCGCTACAAACTGTTAAAGCAGCACACGCATGGCCTGCCTCTCTCACCTTTCTTTGTCAAGGTGTCGACCCCCTCGCTCTCGAACCACTCCTGGTAGAGCTGGCGAACGGATGCCTTGAAGGAGCGATTCACCGCGACGTCCAGAGGTTGAATCTCCGAGGTGCAGCCAGCTGGGATAACGGCAGGGACGATGTTCAGCTCCCCGAACTTCTTCTTCACCTCCGCAGTCAGGTGCCCGCGGTACGAATCCAAGACGAGCATCGCTTTGCGGGGCCTCACTCCGAACTTGGGGTGGACGAACGGCTTCACTGCCCCGTCGAGCCACTCGATGACTCCGTCCGCGTCCATCCAACCGTTGGGATGGACGGACACCGTAACATCTGCACAGCCATAAACGCACGTACAACATCAGTAGACATAGAAAAAAAAAAAACATGCAGCAGTGGGTGTTAATGCTCACCTGAAGGGAAATCCCCTTTAGGCAGGGTCTTCCGTTTGAAGAAGACCCACGGCTTCAGCTTCTCACCGCTGGCAGTGCAGGCGAGCATCACCGTAACTCGCTCCTTCTGATAGCCGCCGCTGCGGATAGGCACAGAGCGCAGACCCACCTCCTCGACTGTGCGTTCGGCAGGCATCTCGAGCCACAGTGGTGTCTGGTCCGCGTTTATTATCCACTGCGGGTCAATCTTGTATTGGCGGCGGGTGTGACGCACGAACTTCCAGAAATTCCTGACGTCAGTCTCGCAGTCTGGGAGTACGGGTGGGAGGGAAAGAGAGAAGAGAGTATTAATGACGCGTTAAAATTCAACCGTGAAACATAAAGAGACAAACAACACAAAGCAGTACACATTAAACTGCAACCATTTCCCACAAAACTCACTGGCAGCAAGCTTCTGGCCGACCCTGGTCTTCGCTCGGGTTGTCAGATTCCAACGGCGGCGAAACCGCTCAGTCCACCGCTGCGAGCCGGACCACTTTACCTGTGGGTGCAATTCTTTCATCACCTCATGCGACCACTTCTGTAGGCGAGCAATCGAGACCGCGAGACATTTTTTACGGTGGGCAAGAAACCTCCTGTAGACTTCAGCTTCCATGTCGCGATACCACGAGCTCCTTCCGCGCCCATGAAGACGCTTGCGAGCAGCATGCGCGCCCTCCAGGTCAGCCTTCCGGGTCTTCCATTCTGCGAGTGACCTTCGGGAGATGCCGGTTTGGCGAGACATCTGCCGCACGCTCATGTGCCCGGACTCAAGCTTGAGAATCCACTGCAGTTTCTCCTGCGATGTGTAAGAGTGCCGCTTGTGACTTGAAGGCTTGTGCCTGGGGGAGGGAGGACGGGCATCGCGATTCTCGCGAGAAGGGTGGGGCCGTTTCTTATTGGGGGGGGGGAAGGTGGGAATAGGCAGGTGCTCTGGAAGACCGTCGGCAGCCCAAAACTCCACGTCATCCTCCGCACCAGTCGCGGATTCGTCCAACGGGCAATCAGCCGGGGCTCCCCAGCGTGGCGACGGTGCGGAGGAAGACGATGCGCCACCGGCGCGGTCGGGCTCGGACAGGTACGCGTCAAACGCCGAGTAGCCAGGAGGGAGGAGAAGCTGCAGGACCCCCTGACGTGGAGCACAAAACACAGGCGGGTCAGGAGGGGACGGAGGAGCTGGAGGAACCGGAGGCGCCGGGGGAGCGGGAGGTGCAGGAGGAGTTGGGGGAGTGGGAGGAACGGGAGGAGCTACTGGTTGACACGGAGGGACGGGCGCAGGGCGCGACTGCCATTGAGAGTAGTCACAGGTGTCTCGGCGGGTGTTTTCTCTGGCAGCAGGATGGCGGCGGAACAAGAAATGCGTGCCTGGAAGGCCCGCCATGGCCACGGCAGGCCAAACGAACAAAGAAACTGAAGGCAAAAGTCGAGAATGAGGGCTGTATGAAGCCCTCGCCCGAGACCCCTTCATTTTCGCGGCCCGGCCTCCTCTGCGGGAAAAGGGTGGCCCCAGTCAAGATTCCCCGCAGAGGAGCTGAGCTGGGCAGCTCCTTGCCTCGGTGGCGGGGAATTTTGCTGTTGATGGGCACACCGTGGCTGAACCACGACGTGCCCACGATCGCATGCAACCCTGATTGGGCCGCTGTGATGCGAGGTACGTGTGCACTGGCATGGGCCAGGTTCACGTTCGATGAACCTGGCCTGGCCAACAAGGCGTGGAAGGCGTGAAGCCACGCCTTGTTGGCTGTTTCACACGCAATGCATGCACAGTTTCAAACGTTCTCGACCCAGGTGAATCCGCGTTTGAGAATGCTTCGATTTGGTATATTAAAAAACAAATTTCAAATTTGACAAATTATAAACGCCGGCGCTTATAAATTTACTATATTATAAGCCCACCCCCTCAAAAAAACATGTTATATTATAGCCCCCCATGGGGGTATATCCGGGGGGTGACGGTACACTCTAAAAAACGGGGAAGCTATGAAAATAGCTCTGATACCAAGTGTTATGAGTTTTACTAGACAGAGTGCGCGGAAGACTTCTATAAAGAGAATTAATTACAGAATGATAAAGGAGCACGCATTTATAGGGTCGAGACCGTGCTAGGCGAGGACCTCGGGACGTGGATGGGTTGGATGTGTCGCGATTGGTGCGGGGCGACTCGGCATTGGTTCGGCGCGGAAGTGTAGGCCGAGCCACCTGACGCGAAGTGCTTGGGCTGTCCTCGCTAGGAGCAGCCTCTACAGTAATGAATTGTGTATTCATTACAATTTTTCCCTTTTCCGCTCACTGAGGCCAAGCTGTATCTCTCAACGGAATCGGGGGTGACGCTCCGTTTTGCTAGGGGTTTATTTTTTTTGCCCCGGGCAGTTTGTCGTTTTGTCGAAACGACTTTGTCGTTAGCGCGCCTGCTACGTTCCGTTGAGATATACTACGCTGTTGTCACAAACAGCATCTGGTAACAGACGACTTGTGGCGACACCCTGCGATTTATAACGGTAGGCACCTACGACTTCACCAAGGCGCTCGTCAACCAATTGACTGTTGAATGGAAAGTTGACGGGAACATTTGCGAGATGACAATCCCATGTTGTTCTGATCGGGTGCTCAACAGCGCAACTTTGTTCGGTCGCACCGCACACCGCCCTGGTTCTGACAGGTCGTGGAGGGAAAACAACGTAGGCTGCCACCGAGCCTAACCTTCAACGAGAACCACGAACCTCAGTTTCCACCGAGCCTCCCCACGTCCCTGCCTCAACCTCGTGCCTCGCCGCAGCAGGAAGTAAAGGGTTTAGAGTCGTACCGTAATGTACCGGAACGAGAACAACTTGCACCATATTGCATCGCACTACGTTGAGCCTCTTTGAGTTTTCTCTCTCCACTTCCTGTTCGCAGTCGACGCGCGTCGCTTACTCTATTGTTCTCACCCTGCTGGCATCAAGGCATGCTTCACTTCATGCAGGGTGAACGACATGTGTGCATTAGGGCGTGTGCCAAGAGTGCGTCTGAATGCGGCTGAATGGGGCTTTGTATGATTTAGAGCGGTCTTTTTGAGATTTAGAATGGTCAGGTAGGGTATTTAGCAGAAATACGTACTTCCGAGACACACCCTCAGTGCTCCAGTTGCTGACATGGCGCGGCGCCAGGTGCACGGTCGCTCGTGAAGTATTGTTTTGCGTGTCATTGCCCTTCCGCGACTTGCATCCACCTTGTATCGCGTACAATTATTACAACCGAGTGCATGAAGATGAACCTAACTTACGTGTACTACTCCTCGGCCGCACGTCAATCTCCCTTTGGTGGCGGAAACGTCGGCGCTCTCGATAATAGAAACCTATCCGTCGATAATAGCACTTTCCCCTCGATAATAGAACACCTCCCTCAATAGTAAAACCGCTCCCTCTCACTCGATAATAGAACATCTCTAATTCCTCTCACTCGATAATAAAAACGCTGTTTCCGACTTCCTGAACCGCGTCGTTCCCCGAGCCCACGCGGAAGGAATGGAGCGCGCCGCGGCGCAGCGGAGTCGCCACGTCCGCGTCGTCGCCCCCGCAGCCCCCCGCTCTCTGCTGCTACCACCGCTGCCTCTCCTACTGCTGCTGCTGCTGCTGCAGTGCCCTCCCTGCCGGGCGGGCTCGGAATTGCAGCCTGTCAACGCCACGCAAGGTGCGGAGGAGCGGGTGTGGGGAGGGGGGAGAAAGGGGAGCGGGTGTGGGGAGGGGGGAGAAAGGGGAGCGGTTGTGGGGAGAA